ATCTATGAAAATTAAACTACGGAAGCACAGAAAATGTGATAGGAAATAAAATCATGTGAATCTGCTTGTGTATATTCAGGATTTGTTCATCAAGTTGACAAGTGATCAGAAAAGGTGGTAGCTAGGCAGGATCATTTTCTCGCTATTTGGGGGACTTCCCGACCCAGCTCTTAGTTTCTTTGATTCGGTGTCCAATTTTTCTGCAAAGCTCACGGCCACGTTGATTTTTGGTACTGTGTTTCTTTTCATCTTTAATGACGATGTAATAAATCTTCATCAAAGCTACCGACGATATAGGCGCCTGATTCAATATGAGCATGATTTCTAAGCATTTCAATAGGTCTTAAATTTTGTACGATTTGTTTTCTTTGCATAAGTAAATGATCTTCCAAGTTCGTGGTTTAATCCTTATAATGATAACAAATTTGACATAAATTTCTTAAAAAATGTTTATTGATTGGAAACTGACCATACTACAACTGACTAAAACAATGTCTTTGCGGATTCCGAGAACATCCTGCCAGTTACGTTAGTTAAAGGATCCATCATCTTACTGCGCGTTTAGGTCCTCACTTGTTTCGAGGTTGCTTTATTAATTGAGGCGCAACACTGGAGCACCATCATTTAGTAGATCCTGGCGACAGCCAAACCACCGGAACGTAGGTTAGCGTTTTTATTATCAATCGTGACTGAAGGCTCATTTGGAGCAGTCGCTTTTGAAATCGACATAACCTTTACCAATCAAATATCCTGTAACGCAGCCTCAACGTACATTTTGCGAATAATCTGTGCCTTACACGCTGAAGAATGTTATCAAGTTTGTAGCTCGGTATAATTATGAAGTTTTACCTCACGGATGGGTTTGGAGAAAGTGAGGAAGGTGGACAACTGCCTAACAAGGAGTGTTTTATTGTTGATCGAGAACTTAAAGGCAGTGTCCGAGCAAATTCAAGGATTCTGAGTTCTCAGATTATGGTGGCCGACCCCCGAACTAAGATTCCCGAAGTTCAAGCGAATTTCGCTGTGGTAAGCGAGAATATCCCTGCGGAATTTATGTCACTTCGCCCACTTTAGGTAAATCCTCCCACTCAGTGATTTCCTTCTCGGCACCGCCTTTTTTTCTCGAAAGCAGTGCTTTAGCGAGAAAGGATGCTATCGTTCCGGACCATATATCGAAAATTTGAAATTGCCCCTCTGTCACTCGTCTTTGCCTCAAAGGGAGGGCCTGAAATATCTGTTGTTTTTTGACAATTTCGTGATAGTTAAAGTTGCTATTCGTGTTTAGCACAACGAAATCGTCCATAAAAGGTGGAAA